TTCATAGTGCATACAGGGATAACTGCCGGCTGATGTCCCATTTCACTTATATTAAAGTTGTTCAAAGGGCCTCTGCGAGTTGGCTTCGGCCCCTCGTACGCCTTCCAAAAGTCCGGGACCCTATGGTCCCGTGAGTGGAAAGGAACAGGTAAATATAATAATATAAACGCCACGACTAAAAGTAGTTACTAAGTTTTAAGATTGTCGAGTTAAAAAAGTATGTATTTTGTATGTAAGTATCTTTGTTGTTAATAATTGGAATTTAACTCGAATAAGGTACCAAGCTTGCCTTTATAATTCATACGGTGATAGTTTTCTTTCTGTCGGAAACTTTTTGCAGTTCGCCCCTAAATGTCTTGAAACTAATCTAGGTAAGTATCTCCTAAAATAGCTGTGTGGCGTAGTAGAAGTAGAGTAGGATGCATTAGATATAGGTATTGTATTTTTTTCTTTGCCACAGATAAGTATTTTGTACAACTTATATCGTGACTAGATTTTAAAGAAACAAACAATTTGACAAATGTGTAAGTCCATGACAGGTAGACCCGGGCACCATTTTGAGATTACACAAGAGTTCCCTGCAGAAATCGAACCTACGACACGTTGCGGAGCTGCCAGTTGCTGTAAAATAAGGAAGCTTAATGTGATGGCCTCTTCTGTCCTATACATTGCATTACAATTTGTTCTCAATTTTGTAGCCGCCGGGGTCCAGAAGATTGGTGGTCTAAGAACGCTACCGTAGAAGACTGGTTCGACGAAATGGTTGGCGAAGCGAATCTGATGAACAGATTCGCCAGGGTCCACATGGAGGACTTTAGGTATGTAATTGAATATGATGCGAACTTTCGAATAAAATGAAAAATATAATGGACATCTTATAAGAAGAAACGTCTTTCTCGATTCGAAACGGATTTAAATGGCAAGGATTAGTGTCATTCATTTCCAATAAACATCTACATTCTGTAGGTAAGACTTCTTAATCCTAATAAATGCGAAAATGAATATTTCGCTTTCACGCCTAAATCCGACTTGTGCAATGAACGCCGGTATCAAATATCCAGTTTAAAAAGCAAGGCAACGTCAAAAGAGTGTTAAATGATGATCATGTTATGAGTCTGATGGGCTTGGCTATGTATGTAATTTTCAGTTATGTTGACACAAGCCAAGGACAATATTAAAGACTCTGGACTGCTGGCAATTTTCAAAACCGAAATAGGTAGGTAATCTAATGCCATTTTACCACAGCGTCGAATACAAGTCTGATACCAGTTATTCGGTATTCCCTCTTGATACCAATCGAATGACCATAAAGAACAAAAAAGCTCTGGTAATATAACGATTGCGTTTCGCATTACCGACCTTCTTATGACAAATGAAACCTTACAACCCTAACTTTTTGGTAGTAGGGAATGTGGGATTCTTAGATAACTCACACAACCATCCCGATCACCATCATCAGCACTACCTTAGTAAATTAACCTTGACCGACCTTTCACAGAGGAATGCGTGTACCGTTCCTATCCGTGGGTTGGAACCGACAATTCTTAATGATGCAGGAGTTCGGATTTGTCTACGATGCTACCGTAGTGGCGCCACTGTCTGACCCTCCACTGTGGCCTTACACCCTGGATTATAAGATGCCACATCAATGTACTGGTAAGATAATTTTGTTTTTAATATCTTTTGGAAAGCTATCTCTGGGAGAAGCCAAAGAAGAAAACCACTTCGTTCCTACTACCCAAAGATAACTTTAGGCAACTGTACCTTCATTAGCTTAACTAGAAACTAGAAAAGACGGTTAAAGCATCAGAAAATCTTGAAGGAATTATTTTGCGGTAAAAGTTACTTACAACCACGGAACAGAAAAAAACAGTTCTTTCTGTTCCGTGCTTACAACACATTTTACGTAGGTAAGTACCTACCTACTTGTTTCATAGGTCGAAAATCGCTTTTACATTGTCTTTAACGTTAGTAACATGGCTGCGCAACCAGGCAAACAGTTGTTAATACTACTATACTGTCATTAATCAATTTGCAGCACTTACCCCTGAAAAGCATTAGCTTGGTAGGTAGGTACCTACATAAACTTTTTTGTAGGTAGATTGGTGTCAAAACGTGGACACTCTTTTTCCGCTTTAAAACTTTGGTTGCCACCCATTGGTAAACGGTATTGATTTATCTCAATGTATCGTAATAAGTAGAGCGTGTGAGTGGTTAAGTAAGATGTTATGAGCAGTGATTGTCGATGACGGTGCGGCGCACGCGCATCTGCCGAAGAGAGATTGCGTTCAACGCGCCTATTGTTTCTGATATTACGCATAACTACCTGGAATGCGGAATTACAGCGCCGCGGAATCACGTTTCAATCAAATTTAGCGTCGTTATTGTAATATTTATAAGTAGGCTAATGTTTAAAACACTGGAAGTACCTAAGTACCTAGATAGATGTCTTTGAGATACCTTCCCTTTTGAACTTATAATATTTTGTATTTGGGTGGAAATTGACTTTCTTTTTGATTGATTGATTGAGTTCTATGTCTAGATTCTGAGTATTATATTTTAGCGTGGACATTCGTCTGCTATATCTACACCACGCCGCTAGTTCAATTCTTGCACAGAAGAAATATTTGTATGATCCACAAATTGTCGTTTTAGAGCTGGGTGTGATACGTGGGAAAGGTAATTGCCTGAATTTACAATATAGATATGAATGAATGCACTATCTATACGATAGCAAATCCTATCAGTAGGTGTTTCAAGAAAAATAAGTATATCACTTCCGCAATGGAATGTGCAATTTTCGGAATAGGTCTCTTGTTTTTTTAGCATCAACCCTTAATTTTTATGTAGGTAGGTATCTACTGACACAAGAAGATGAGTTTACAGTGCAGTGGCTATCATTTAACAAAATTCGAAAACCCAATAACGATTACGGCCGACCGTGGCTCTTGTCTCTACTTTTACCTTCCACTACCAAAGTAAGTAGTCCTTTAGAAACTCGTCATGGTGCGGCGTTAATGATATTTGTTTATAGTGTTGTGCGCTAGTAAGACAGCGAAATGCACCACACTTTACACTCTAGTGCACACTAGACTACTTATTTGCAGTTCTATTGCGACAGATATTATCTCTACAGGGACGGGGTGAATATATTGAAAGACATCAGGAATAGGAAGTCTTACGCCTTATTGTGTGTACGCACGCACGCACCTACAATTAATAATTTCTAATTTAGATAGCTGAAGTCAAAGACATCGCTAGTGTCTTTGCTCCATCCAGGAAGATACTTAGTTAGATAAGTTCTAACTAAGGTCATTAGAAAAGATTTCATCAGTGATTAGGTAGGATAAGCCAAATTGCGATGGTCAAACCATCGCCTCACAGAAAACCAACGTCAGATATCAAGAGTCTGTTTCTATATGAGTGAGGTTACCAGATGCCCAATACTTCCACTCCCGCTATCCCTAAATCCCTAAAAGGTCAGCAACACCAAAGGAGTTGCAAGTGGCAGCCAGTCCATGGGCGGTGCCTATTGCTTAGTACCTATCACCAAATACGCATTCTGGTTTGTCGTTTTATCACATTAAAAAAACTAATAGCCCATAACTATGAGTTTTTGAGTAAGTAACTAAGAAAGTCAATTAGCCCCAGCATTCCAAAATGACCATCACTGATAACTTACTCACGGACTCGTGCCCGAGTGGAAAAAACTGACTTGAATTGAGACTTAAACTCAATTATCAGTTCAGAATCAACAAAGGGTACCTACAAAACCTCATGACTGCTGATGCATGAAGTTTAAAAAACATCAACATCTGATACCTACTCTAAATATTTTTCAGGCAACAACCAATATTGCCCTACGCGAAGCTATGCAGGTATATGGGAGATGGTGATTAATCCTCTTTCGAATGGCGACCATACGTGTGCTACGTTGGAGTACTGCCCATCCAACTTGTCTGCTGAAGATGTGTACAACATACTGGTGAACAACTTTAAGAGACATTACCTGAAGAACAGAGCTCCATTCGGCATTCATTTGAACTCCACTTGGTTTAAAAATAATGAATACTTACAGGCTTTCAAGGTAATTTTTTCCTCAAAAATTAAATTTTTTATTCGGCAACGTCAGTCAGAAAAACATACCTTTTGTAGACAGCCTTGTTCATACGTAATATGTGAACCCAAAACTTATTGCGAAAAGCAAACCATATATCGCCAATCCGCCTTGAGCAAGCGTGATTAATGCTCAAGCCGTCTCCGTGTGAGAAGAGGCCTTTGCTCAGCAGTGGGAACTTATAGGCTGATGATGTGTATGATGAATGTAGTAACAAAAATAAAATGCCTAATGAATACTACCAGGGATATTTTTATATTTTCAGAAATTCATATCAGAATTGTCCAGAGTACCAGATGTTTACTTTGTAACTTATAAAGAACTGATTGACTGGATCAAGAGGCCCACACCAGCTCTGCAGTTGAAGAAGTTCCAGCCATGGCAGTGCAAAGACCGTAACTTTGAAGAGCCAGAAATTGCGTGTACCAAACCTAATACATGCAAATTACCTTCTAAAGTGTTGCAACATGATAAATACATGATCACCTGCACTGAATGCCCCAAGAGCTATCCTTGGATAAGAAATGAATTTGGATTTGATTAATTTTTATTTCGTTAATTAATTTATTAAAAATACACCAGTTACCAACTTTAAATTTAGAATAAATTGATAGGGGACCTTAGATTTTCAATTTGTTTTTTACTGTTTTACCTAATTTAAATGTAAGGACACCAAGGTTATAAGTATTATGAGTAAGACTACTCCAATTTGAATTGATCTTTTTACCTATACTCACAGTATTTACGAAACTACAAGACATTTTAGTTATATGTGTGCAATAATTTATTAAGTAGAATAATTTAGAAGTTGTGTCTGTTTTAATAAAATACTAAAAAATACTTATGTATTTTTTATTTTTTACTTAATTTAATTTATAATTACAGCTTAAAGTAAGGTAGACTTAAATATAAGTAGATATTATCCTTCCTGAGTGATGAATGGGTTTGGAATAGCCTCCATGCCGTCCATTGGACATATTAGAACCACGGAGGTACCTCTACACACAACTAGACCAAGAGCTCTGGTGTCATCCAGCAGTTTGTAGGGATCATCAGGATCTGTAAATAAAACATAGTTTAGTTAGTTTCATTTATATATTAATACATCATATTAAAATCAAGTTATACCTACCAATCATAGAATTTCATGATATTAGTCATAGTCAATTCTCTGTCTTTTTGTTTTTCTTATGGAATAGGAGGCAAATGAGCACACAGATCACTTGATGGTAAGTGATTTGTGCCACCCGCCACCCATGGCACCAGAGGAGTCTTTGTTAGCACAAATCTTTAAAACTATGCAATGGCTTTTTATGCGTTTTTTTTTTTTAATAGAAAGAGATTGATGAGGAAGGTTTTATAGTATTCGCATTGCACCCATGCAAAACTGGGGTTAAGTCATAATTTAAAATTTACGCATTTTTTACGTTCTTACTACATTTTATACAATACTAGAAGTATAATATGAACGTTTACCTCTTAGGAATTCCGTAGTATTATCCAATACCAAGTTTAGAAGAGGATCATATCCTTTTAGAATTCCCGCCGCTTCTCGTCCACCGGCAAATTTGACGCGTATGCTTTTCTCTAAATATTTACTTAGGTCAAGAATGGACTCTTTCCTCCTCTTCTCTTTATTATCTCCCGCACCCTGTGAGGACTGAACATAACAATCACAAAATTAGATAAACATCACTAATGGTATTTACAATTATAGCGATGTTTTGAGAGATACTTGTGTTTATAGTATACCTTTCCTTTATCACCGCCTTCTTTTGACGCCATTATATAGAATATTTACCAAATTTGTTTCAAGTAAACAATAAGTAAAACAGTGCGTCTGGCGTCAAGCGACCGACGATTTTGAGGTTATTTTATCGCATTACTTAACGTCAGTTGCCGTCCGTGTTTGATTGACTGACATTTGACATTTGACGTTAGAACAAGGAAAATATCGATAGGTATTTCATCGTAGAAATCGAATAAATCGAAAAATCAAGATTATCAACTACATTATGATTATTCCTTATAAAACTCTGATTTCGAGTCAAAGTCAAATTAATTTGTTTCAATTTGAGCTTCACCATTGACATAAGTTTCTATCTCAATGAGCTTCACAGCCACTTTCAAAAGTGGCCTCGGCCTAGAGTAGGAGAACAAAATAACAAATGGTGGGTTTAGTTAGTAAGAGTCGGACACTCCCTCCCGTCTCACCCTGGGCGGGAAAGGTCATTTGATGATTTTCCCTCACAAACAAAAGTTATACCATATTCCTCCATGCTCCGAATAAGTCTTTAACTTTAGATTTTCTAAAATTATCTACAAAAATTAATAAATAACTAGTAGACGGTCATATTTTCTTTTTAAGACCCTTTCCTATACCTCATTTCAGTGTAGAGTTTTGATTTCGATAAATACTACTTACAATGCATTGCAACATTTGCAAATATAAATAGAAATTAAAACGGCTTAATTTGAAATTAAACTTAAATTACTATTTATTGTATATCGTTTTATTAATACAAGGTTTACATGACTCGAGTAATGTCAATAATTTGGCGAATTCGGTTCAGCTGCGACAGCTGTCAAACATTAAAAAGTCTTATTAGATGTCAAATACGCCCCGTTACGTTAGGAAAAAGTCGCGACGTAAACAAATATCAATAAGGATACGTTACTATAAATATTCTTTGATAAGAAACGCTGACGGATCGCGGTGAATTATATATATTGGCAATGGATAGTGAATTTGGTGTGAAACGAGTTAGATATCGTGATTGATAAACAAATGAGATATCAATGCGCTCTTCGGTGAGCTACATTCTATCTCACGCGCCAGGAGAGTCGGTGATGTCGCACCCTGACTACTCGCAGCATGCCCAGCACCATGCGTGCCTGCTGGTGCTCGTCAAAGGCATCGGCGGTATGCTCAAGAACTTTAACAAGCTCTGGGAGAGGATACAGAGGGTCAACAATATTAAAGTTACTGGTGAGTACATTAAACACCTTGGGTTCTAATTAAATCTCTACAGAAACTAGATCATGTTAGTAGGGCAACACATAAATAGAATGTTAACATAACATGCAATGAATATAAGAAACATAATACATTAGAATTTATCAAAAATGCAACTAGTCATTTTAACTCATTAATTCTTTTATAATGTGTGGCGGTGTTGTGTAACTGTGTATAAATTATGCTTGTATTGCAGATTCAACTGGCCAAGTAAGAGACATATGGGTGAGATATGTCCGAGATTATCCTGTGGAGAACAATGATTGGGGAGATTTCCAAACTCACAGGTAATTTATCTAAATGCTGAAGTCTTTTGACTCATATAGGTTTAAATTCTTGCTAATCCCTAGCTGCTGACAAAAAACTGTTTTGATTAAATTAAAATACATTATTACATAAAATCGAAAGTTAATACTTTTTATTTTTGTTTAATTATTTAGCCCACTTACCCTTACAACCAGGAGAGATAGGGGATGTACACACATACTGTATTTATTAATAGTTGATTTGAAAAAATACCTCACATTATTTATTTATTTTTACAATATTACAGCTTACACCAATACAGTGTGTAAATACATACTTAAATATTTATAAATTAATCAAACATGAAACAGTGAAACAATAAATTTATTTTTGTAAAAATGATATAATACAGCACATTTTCAGAATTTTGATTCGTAAAACTGAGTAAAGCTTACAAAGTTGCTTATAAAGCAGTACACTTTACAAGCAACTTTGTAAGCTTATTATTCTATGCATTATTCCACACACATACTGGTAATTATACAGTATGATTGATAATTATACAGCTGAAAGTTTGATTGCACAAATGTTTGCTAATTGCTCATATTACTTGAATGCAATGTAAACTAGGCAGTTAGTTCAAGTTGGAATATTTTTCATTAATATTCATGTAGACTATTATAAACTAGTGGCCAGTATCAACTTATTTTATACCAATATTGCCTTTATACATATTCACACTGAAAAGGGTGGTTTGTTAAAACACACATAGACACTTGATATAAACAATAAAAACACTTATACAATCAACCATAAAGAACATTTTCCTTTGTATATAATAAACATACATTATAACTTAAAATGCAACATAACAGGAAGGCTTGCTTCCTTGAAGTCATGTCAAAGTGTTCAATTAATTGGTAGTATTAACACCCAATATGTAGAAAACTAAATGTGTTATTGCAATGAGGAAGTAGAATGTTACAAAATGCATTCTCCATCACTTTTTAATAAAGTTTTATTTTATGAACACATATTCAATTACTACTACAAAATATAAAACTATTTTTGTTAATTGTTGTTAAAAAATATATATATATTAGTTTGTGGTAACGAAAAACGTTTGGTCATGGCAAATCAGTGGATGGATCACGTGATAGTAAGCAATCGGCCACTGTCCGACAATTGCGTGCCTTTTTTGGGGATTGGGATTGGGATTGGGGAAAGAGAATTGGGCCTCCATTTACCTCAAGGGGAAGGTAAGTCGTCTTTTATGACCATTGTACCATTGTATCATTCATCCTTAAATGCCAAATCCCCAAAAGGCACTTGTAACCTCTCTGGTCTTGCAAGTGTCCCTGGTGGCGCCAATTGCTTACCACCAAGTCTACCGTATGCTCGATTTCTAAGCTATTACTAGAATAAATATCAAAAAAACTAATAAAATACTAATGTTTATAAATATCTGATAATACCTCTCGGTCAGACAACTAGGTTTGACTATAAACAAATAGATATAGGAATGACATTTGACTTTTAAAGATATCTAATGAAAATAAAATTTGTAATACTTGACGTACTTAACATAACTTTACTTTTTCCCCTTTCACAGGCGATTACTAGGTCTAATAACACTGAGTAAGTTCACGAACCAAGTGGAACTGAATGAAGTGTGCAGAGTGCATGAATCTTTAAAGGTGAAATATTCAAACACCCTGTATGACTCGCGCGCTTTCATGTTCGGGCCGCTCAGCAACATGAAGAAACCTGAACAGGAGCCTGAGACTTACAGCTACTATGAGGAGGATAAACCTTTGAAAGATGGGGCCAGTGAAAAGTAAGTCTTTTGGAATATTATATAACTGAATAACGGATACTTAGTAATTTCTGACATACTAATATTTAGGGAATAAAAAAAAGTGCCCTAATAGGATCCTCCATCCAGGCGAGATGAACATGCCTGGCAGGCTCCTGCCCAACAGTTATACATTACGATTTTCTATTGGTTTTAATCGGGCGCAAACTTCACTTGCTCTGTGTAGGATTTATGACGTCTTTTGATTATTGTCTTCAATCTTCTACGTGCAGTCTATTGTCTCCTTTCCTTTCTGAACCCCCACGTCTTCACAAGGAAATTATATCTATCCCTCTTTATACTACGTAACGTTATAATGAGATAAGGTTAGATTTAAGATAACAACTAGTTTTTGGCTTGATAATAAAAAAAAAATTATAACAAATTTGTATTCAACCTACTTTCACAAAATACTAACATCTTGGGAGCGGCACCAATATGTAACTTGCTTGATATTAGAATCAATTCAATTTGCCTAAAATCACCACTTAAGTACTGACTTAGACTATTTTCCCCCAGAACATCTCTACCAAGTGATCAAGCAGACAGTCTGACCTCCTTAGACAGTTTTCCTCAATCTACATCTTCAAACTCGTCATACCCACTACAAGAGGAACACTTCACTACTCCATCTAATTTCAAGACGCATGCCATGTTTTATGGAGAGAATGACCCAGTGCCAGACTTGGAACAGAATGTGGCTGATCTGATCAACTCTCTCTTCTGGGTAGTAGAATCCAAGCGTCTGGAGAGGTCTAAGGAGAAATTGGATAAAGTTTCCTTATTACTTGCGCCTTTTGAGAAGAAGGATTTTGTTGGTGAGTACAGAAATACTATTTGTGGCGTATAATTTATCATTAACCCAGTTTGAACTGCTCTAAGTCTACTATAAAAAAAATCGCAGTAATATTTCAAAATCATATTTAAAAACCAGGTTTAATAAAGGGGTGGCTTATAAATACCTACTTACATTTTGACTGCACGGTAGGCGTAGTGACTGGGTGACTGGCTGCTGTCAAACGTGTCGCAGGTGCGATTTCCGCATTGAACAACACTGTGTGATCCTTTCATTGTTGTTTAGGGGTCTGGGTGGTTTGTATATGTGAATTTGTAAATGCACCCATGACACAGGAGAAAATAATGCTGTGAGGCAATTTTATAAAATCTTAATAATTTACTCTAGACAGACGAGTCTAGGAAATCGCAATTTAAAATGATCTAATTTATCGGACAGAGTTGGTGCACGACTAGCTCTGTCTAATCTTTCTCAAAAGTTGTAGGTCTTAGTCGTCATTTATGACTCTTGCTCAATAAGCAAGCAGGAGTGTTGGCAAATACATTTTAGTCTATTGTCACCATAATGCCCGTAATAATTGTAAGAACTGCAACACATTTTACTTTCTTTAGGTCTCGACATGGAATCCCGTAACAACAAAAAGCGATGTATGGGCCGCGTTACGAAAAATCTAGCCGACCTAACTCTACAAGCTGGGCTGGTCGCAGACAGTTTAAGCTTGTACAACTCCTCTACTGAACTACTCAAGACTGACTGGTTGTGGTTGGCTGCAGCTAAAGAGGGTAAGTGAAAAATTTGAAGGCCTTACGAAACCTTTTTTTGATCTGTCTATTTGTTACACTAGCTACTCTCGCGCAGTTTTAGCCGCTGATCGGCTCCTACAGATCATAGCAAGATGTTTAGTTCCCTATAATCTTCGTCGATAAATAGACTAACAAATACGAAAAAAATTACAAGCAAAGAAACAAACTTCAGCTTTATAATATTAATTAAAATTAGAA